CAAGACAGAGCCACTGGGGCCAAGGAGATGGAGCAGTCAAAGTAATCTCGGGGCTTGCTAGCCTGCCAGTCTAGATCAACTGTCCAGCTCTGGGTTCCCTGTGAAACCTCTTACAAAGTGGAGAGTGAACGAGGAAGGTATCCGATGCTGACCTCTGGCCTCCTCACGTGAAAGCACGTGTTCATGCATCCATACACACATGTATACGCATGCACACAGCGAGCCTTTCCACCCTGACAGCCTGGTTCCCAAACCAGACGCTGTGGCGCTAATTCCCCCCTATCTCGGTCCCCGAACAGTCTCACCAACCCAGGGCCCCGAGGAGCTGACCAAAGTCAGAGGACTCCCTGGCAGGCTTGTCCTGGCAGCTGCCCAGCCGACTTGTGCTAACGCAGCCAACAGACTCAGGAAGGGAGTCCAGAGAGTGGAAAAGCACCAGTGAGCCACTCAGGGGACAGAAGTCAGGCCCGCTATGCTCAGACAGGATAACCCTGCTCCAAAGTCACTGCATCACAAGGCTGGGGAAAAGACCCAGGAGGGGTGGAGAACAAGCAAAGAGTTCCAAGAACGTCCATTCAGTAATGTCTCTCGGTGAACCTTGACTGTTGGGCCAATCGAAAGACACAATTCACATATCTCCAAGGTGAATCAGCAGCAAGCATGATTCACCAAGAAAACCAGCCCGAGTCTCGTTCGTCCCAGCAACCAAGACAAAACAGCCACCTGCACAGGGGCTGGAGAGCAGGCACTGTCTTACCGCCATGACAGCAGCCACACACCTCAGCCGGTCCGTGGGAAAGGACGGTCTAGCTGAGAATATTAATAGACTCGCTGAAGGCAGAAGTTCAACAAGGACCTGCCCCAGGAAAGGAAATTATTTAAAAGGAGGCACAACCAAAGTTAGGCTGGGAGACAGGAGCACTTGGATTTCCAAAGATAGGCCCTCCTCGGCCAGGCGCGGGCAGGAGTGCACCCGTGGGGGCAGGGTTATTCTAAAATATCTAAAAAATCCAGAACCGTCTATGGGAAAACCTTTTTGTTGTTTCTGTGGCTTTCTTTCCACCCTTCCATGTTTAACCCAGGCTGTATTGAGCCTGCACATAGTCAGGCACTGGGACAGATACTCAATTAAAAAAAAAATTTTTTTTTCTTCTTTTTTTCTTTGGGGGAGGGTGTTTTGCTTTGATTTTTTGACACAGATCTCACATGTAGTCTGGCTAGACTCATTAGTTATGTGGCCACGGCTTTCTATCCGACCTCAGCTTCTCCGCCACACCTGGCTGAAATGTTTTTGTGGAAATCCACTTCTGGGGAATCGTAAAAACGCATCCTTGTGGTGTTAGCACTGCCATCTCTGGGACCACATGACCTACACCCTCGTTTTGAGGACATTGTAAGGCATTTTGAGAAGTCACAAATTGGCAAGCTTTTTAAAGTATTTTAATTACATTTCTATTCTCTGTGCATGCCACACACACACTTGCCACATTCTGCCCTGGAAACCAGAGGACATGTAAAAGTCGATTCTTTCCTTCTACCTCATGGGTTTCAAGAACCAAACCCAGCCGGGCGGTGGTGGTGCACGCCTTTAATCCCAGCACTCGGGAGGCAGAGGCAGGCAGATCTCTGTGAGTTCGAGACCAGCCTGGTCTACAGAGCTAGTTCCAGACAGGCTCCAAAGCCACAGAGAAATCCTGTCTCGAAAAACAAACAAACAAACAAAAAAACCAAACCCAGGTCATCAGGCCTGGTGGCAAGTGCCTTTTCCCACAGAACCATTTTGCTGGCCCCTCAATTTTTGGTTGTTTCTGTCGACGTAAGACAGTAAGTATCACATGTATTCCAGGCCTTGAACTTGCTGTGCAAACTACAGTCTTGAACTTTACCATTTGTGTGAGTGTGTGTGTGCATGCGTGTGTGCACTGCATGTACGTGCCACAGCACAACATAGGTGAAAACTGGAGAACAACTCCGTAGGGCTGGTTCTTCCTGTCCCGTTTTGGGTGTTCCTGGGATTGAATTCTGGCCACCAAACTGCACAGCAAGAGTCTTTACCCACAGAGCATCTCACTAGCCTGACCCTAAACTTCTATCTGCCCTTTCTTCCCAAGTGCTGGGATCATAGGCAGCCCCTCCACCCCGTTTATATGGAGCTGAGGACAGAACCCAGGACTTCATGCGTGAGTAGTCAAGCACTTTACCAACTGAACTAAATGTCCAGCCCCAGATTTTCTCTAGTGAGTTGTCTATTTGTAAAATAGGCTCTACAAACAGAAAGAATAAGGAAAACCTCATTCAATGTCTAGCATCTTTGGGGGAGGATATACAGGAAACTTGGTGCCCCAGCAGGAGCAAACAAATGGAAAGCTGGATCTTTTCCGCCCCCTATTGACAGACCTGTGGTCTCCAGTTTTCAGCCTGGCCAGCCCCGTCACTCATTTGTCACCTGACTGCCCCCTGCAGGCGTGCATCAACATTGACTCAAGTTCTGCCTAGTGGGGCAGCCACAGGCCTGGTAATACAGAGAACAGCCACAGGGTGGCAGCACCGGGCTATTAGTGAGGCCCATCACTGGCCTAGCCAGGGCAGGCCAAAGCTCGGCTTAGCCGATGCCTTCAGAATCAATCTTTTCATCCTTTCTTGGGGGGTACACAGTTGCTCCTAAAACTGCCCATCAGACGTGTTCGAGCAACAACTCGAACAATCCCCTTAGGCACAGAGGGAGAGCTGCTGACTGCATTTGCTCTCCTCCAGGCCACCACTTGCCCCTCTTCCCAGAATGCCCACGCCATAGCTGGCTTCGCCACCTGATGCCATCCATCAGACTTCTGGGGACAAGCAGGGGAGGCACCTTCCTAATTAAGAGGCAGATTCATGTTTAATCAGATAAATGCCCGCTATACTTTCTTTGCTCTCTTGGGCTAGCCATCTGCTTCTTCCAGCCCTCTGCTCTCACTCCCTTTTTAACCTCCCCAGCAACACCCCAGTGGTAACGCACACCACAGTCCCTTCGGAAGGACGTTTTGTCTTATGCATGGAGACCCACTTCATCCAAGGTCGTCTGTTGGTGATCCAATGGGCACTTCCTACCACTGACTCCAAAATGCAGGGGAAACGTTACAATAGACGGTCACTGCAGTATTTAAACTCGTGAACAAGAACAATATCCACACTCCGCAATACGGAAACGTTACAGTCAGCTTTTGCAACAGCTTCCCTTGATGGGTACATAACTGCACAGCTACTAAAAACAGTACAGGGGGCTGGAGAGATGGCTCAGGGCTTAAGAGCCGTATCTTCCAGAGAACCTGAGTTCAGTGCTCAGCACCAGAATCAGGCGACTCACAAATCACATGTAACTGTAGCGCCAAGCGGTCTGGTACCCTCTTCCGGCCTCAGTGGGCGCCAGCACATTATACACATGCACGCCTGCGCAAACACACACACACACACATACACACACAAATATTAAGACAAAGACAATGGCGAGGGCCTGGAAATGGCACAGAATATGAAGGTACCCACTTGCCAACATTAATGACCTGCACTTAGTCCCCGGAACCGAAACGGTAGGAGAGAACCAAAAGTTGTCTTCTGAACTCCACACGTGCACTGTTGCACATGTGCACACACACACGATCAATAATTTCCAAAATGTATTATTAACTCAGTGGTTAAGAACATCAGCCGCTCTCCCAGAGGACCTGGGGTTTGAGTCTCAGCACCCACACGGTAGCTCACAACCATCCATAACTCCAGTTTCAAGGGATCTGACACCCTCTTCTGGCCTCGATGGGACACCAGGCAAGCCTAGTGCAGACTTACACAGTCAAAACACCCAAACACAAGATAAAATAATTTGTTTTCCAAAACAGGGTTTCTGTATAGCACTGGCTGTCCTGGAACTCAATCTGCAGATCAGGCTGGCCTTGAATTCAGAGATCCACCTGCCTCTGCCTCCCAAGTGCTAGGATTAAAGGTGTGCGTCACCACTGCCTGGCAAAATAATTAAAAAAAAATATTTAAAAAAGCAAGCAAGCACTAATGAATCCATTTTAGCAGGGCAAGTCTATAATCCTAGGTACTCATGGGGACGAGGCAGGAGAGCCAAGAAGTCAAGAACTACATCCTGGCAACCTAATAGGACATCTCATAATAAATTGGAAAAAAAAATAAAAATAAAACAGAGGGCTGGGGATGTAACTCAGTGATTGTTTAGCACATGTGAGGCTCTGGGTTCCCATCTCAGCGATCTCTCCCCAAAACAATGCCGACCACCATATGGTAAAGATGAAAAATAACATAAAAGTATAGACATGAACTCTTTTTTTTTTTTTTTTTTTGGTTTTTCAAGACTCTCTGTGGTTTTGGAGCCTGTCCTGGAACTAGCTCTTGTAGACCAGGCTGGTCTTGAACTCACAAGAGATCCGCCTGCCTCTGCCTCCCAGTGCTGGGATTAAAGGCGTGCGCCACCACCACCGGGCGTAGACATGAACTCTTTAAGGCTTATTCTAAAGCTAGGTAGGGAGGCACATGCCTTCCATCCTAGCTCTTAAGAGGCACAGGTAGGCAGATTTCTGTGAGTCTGAGGCTGGCCTGGTCTACATGAGTTCTAGGCGAGCCATGCTTACAAAGTGGCCCTGTTTCAAAACAAAGCAAAATCTACAAACCCACACAGACATTAGTGAAGACAACAAAATACTGCCAGCATCCGCACTGGAGCACTGGGAGCACGGGTGACCCCTTCTCATTCCTGCCCAATTTCATTAATGTGTAAACACCTCTGAGTGTGTGCTTCCAATTCAGACTCTGGAGATGCTGCAGCCTCGTGCAGTCATGGTAAAAAGGACTCTTGGGAACTTGTGCCTCAGGGAGTCTCAGCTAGCACTTGGTGCAACAGAGCTTCCAGCTGTGTTCACAGTCTTGGGAAGTCTGCAGACACTACTGATACCCCCAAAGGCCTAGGAGAACCCGGACCCCATTCAGAAGACAGAATTCCATCAGTGTCTCAGGTACCATTTTAATTGAGGTTCTCCCTTCACCTTGAGGAAGGGTGGAAGACAGGGATTGTTTCCAGGCACACGCCCCTTCTGCCCCAAGGTAAACAGCCTGAGCTCCCCACAACAGAAGCATGCTCTCCTTCCCCTGAGAATCCACCCCTGAGTGTTGGGGCATGGGAAAAACTCAAGAGAGCCAGGGAGATTCTGAATTCTTTCCAGTGTAAAGACTAGAACTAGACATGGAGGTGTCCCTCCTTATGGCAACAACAAACCCCACCTTTCCCAGTTGAGGCCAAGCCCCTCCCCAGGAAGCCTGAGAGCAGCTTCCCCAGGGTTCCTCCCTGCAGTGATCCCAGGGAAGACCAGAAGCCTGCACAGTCATAGAGACAGCCATTCAACAGACACGGTCTCCTCTTCGTGGGCCCCTACTGCTGCAGCTGTACAGCCATGAAGGACCAGCCAGTACGTGTGTGGCTGTGGGGTGCAGAAGGGGCCAGAGTGAGCAGCAAAGCAAATCAGATGTATGTTCCGAAGCTGGATCGACATGGTGGCAGGGCATGTCATAGCCCTGCGGACCACAGGGACCTGGGCCCTCCATTAATTCTTCTCCGGACGGTTTCTGTTCAGGACTGCTTTGGGGGCAAATTCCAGTTTGTCCTTAAGGCTCACCACCTGAGTGTGGTCCTTGCCTAGCAGCTCATCCAGCTTTCGGTCCTCTCGACGCTCCAAGATGCTCTTCTCCTCTTCCACGGGCTGAGGGCCCTTTCCCCTGATGAACCATTCCAGGTGGTAGCCCACAGCCCCAACCACAAAGGCCACGGGAAAGGTGACATAGGGAGCATAGGTGCGCACCACGGTCCAAAGCACAGGCCACATGACATCTGCAGAAGAAAAGAGAGGTTACAGAGAAACAGGCACCCCCTCCCCCAGCAGATGTGGACAGCCCATGGGGCACTCGACTGACCAGGCGGCCTGGCACTAATAACTGAACAGCCACCCCACAAACAGCAAGTGGCCACTGTGCTCTATGCAATGGCTGGGTCCCTGAAATACTCTAGGAAATTGTGCAAGATCTGATGGTTAAGGAAGGGGGTAAAATCTCCATGAACTCTGCTGTGCTCCTGTGTGCAGACGGTCCCCACAAGTGTGGGTTCACCCAATGGAATTTCACACCTGGTGTGACCTCAGGTCCCCCCTCCAGTCTGTCAACATTTCCGGAAGGGAAAAAGAAGTCTTTTCTCTGCTCCGGGAAACTTCTCACTCACACACACACACACACACACACACACACACACACACACACACACCCATTCTGAATTTGGCTCTGATTATGAGAAGTAGTTCCTCTCCTTGGGTGAAGTACGAGGGGCTTATTTAACAGTCAAAAACTATGATCCATTACCTAACTACCCTGGATTGCAGATAGAGAAGGGTTTTAAGCCTATTCTGGACTTGGCTTTTCTAAGGACAGCAACCTCTATTAAAAAAAACCTTGTCCAGCCTGGGTGGTGGCGCACGCCTTTAATCCCAGCACACAGGAGGCAGAGGCAGGCGGATCTCTGTGAGTTCAAGGCAGGCCTGGTCTACAAGAGCTAGTTCCAGGACAGGAACCAAAAATGCTACGGAGAAACCCTGTCTCAAAAATCCAAAAAAAAAAAAAAAATTTTTTTTAATTAAAAATAAAAAAACCTGGTCCAAACACCCTCAAAATCTACTCCTGCCAACCATCCTCACATCCTCGCACGCGCACAGTGAGCTCCTGAAGATCTCACAAATGAACACAGTACTCCAGATGCCCTAGAGCCCCAGTACTTCAAAGTCCCTGTGGAAATCGCTGTAAAATAAAGCTAACAAATATTGTGGAGCTGCCCCTAGGGCTTCTGCAATGAGATACCAAAGTAATACACAAACCCACTCACTCAAACGGCCCCTTAGTCACAAATGATCACCACTATTAAATTACTATTTATACCATTATTTACTTGCTACCACACTCATAAAAGGCCATTGGTAATGAACTCATAATGCTAGCCGCCATCTACCGAGCCCTTATTCCAAGCTGGGCCCAGGGCTGAGCACTTCACACACACGCTGATCTCTGATCCTCCTACTCACGCCTTAGCCGTGTGTCGTCGACTTCCCCAACACTGCTGTCTCTCCACCCCAGGGGGACATCCAAACCTCATGGAGGATTAGATGTCTCTCCCTTTCTCCCTCTGGTTCTCATTCTCTTTGGAGGGGCCTGAGACTACACGTGGACCACCAGGCCGAAGGACTGCAGCAGACTCACACTTCTCTTCACGGTCCTTTGACTTGACCCCAGGCCCTGTGCTCCCTGGTAGCTCCCTAGTCATCACCTGACCCTCACAATACCTCTGTGATGTAGGAATTACTCGCCCAGATTCCTGTCTAAGGCCACAGTGGCTCAAAGACACTATGCTAGCAAAGTCACTCCAAGTGACCAGCCCACTGGTTTTGAGGCCAAGCCCGGGCTTTTTCTGGCAGAACACGCTGCAGATGTGTGCACGGTGTCTGTTCAAACCGTAGACATGGGAAGGGCCTCCTGCAGTTCTTCATTAGCTCAGCTCTTCATCACACAGGAAGACTTCCTTTCTCGTGTGCTCTAGGGTGGCACCAAAAGATTCACAAAATCTTACAATGTACATATTAACAAAGAGGGACGCCCCGAAGAATACCAAACCCAATACCTCTCCATCTTTTGAAGATTTTAAAATCTTTTTAAATTTTCTGTCTTTTTAAGTTTTTGGTTATTATTAAGACCGGTTCTTGCGTCACCCGGACTGGCCTGAAACCCTCAGTGTGGTTGAGGATGACTTTGAACTGCTGATCCTCCTGTTTCCAGTTCTCAAGGGCTTACAATTACAGGTGCAAGTTCTTCATACTGTTGCTACATGGCAACTCTCCATTCGGTTTTCCGATGTGTCTTAAGTACCAGTCTACAACTATTATCCTCTTATATATAAAGCACAAGTTCTGTATGGTCCTGCTCGTATTCCGGTCATCCACGTATGCAACACAGCCATTTTCTCTGTAACGGGTATTGTGTGGGTTTATCCTATTTATCTACATCTCTCAAAACACCCTGAAGCTCCGTGAGGCCAGGGATGTCCGGATGGGACTATGCTGTACGCCTCTTACCCCCTGCTAACTTCCCTCCCTGTTAAAGAGCTCAAAAAAAAAAAAAAAAAAAAAGTTTGTTGAGCGAATGAATGACAAGCCGCATACTCAAGTGGCTAACGTGAGACTTAAGGCAGTCTCTCACCCACAATCACAAAGGGGCAGGAAGACGATCACAAGCAGCTAGCCTTCATGAAGTCGTCCCTAGGGGATCAAAACGTTAAGTAGCAGAAACGTCTCGCAAATACTGACGCCTATTCCCAGCCCAGCACGCCGCGGAGCCTGCCAACGAGTCCAGGTACAGGTCAACTGGGCCGCCCGGAAACCTGTCCTTGCGCCTGGTCCCACCGGAAGTTAACACTCCAAATTCGAGAACAGTCAGAAGAGGTCCGAGGAGGTGGAAGAAATCAGCCTTGACAGCTACCCCAGTCAAGTCGGGGGATGAGAGCGCCAGAGGTCAGGGTCATCAGCTCCCGGTCCCCTGTCCCGTTACACCGGAGGCGTGGCCTCGTCACCCTCTGGCGGACAAGTTCTGACTGCAGCCCACACTCGGCCACGGAGACCATCCCTCCCTCAGCTAGGAGGGCACGGCCAGGAGCCGTCCCGCAGGACTCACCTGCGGCCCAGCCGGCACGCCCCGGACCGGCCCCGCGCTGCTCCCGCTAGCCCGGAGCCACACGCTCGGACGTCGCCGGTCCCAGTGGCCCGCGGGGCGTCGCCCGAGACCCGCCCACTGGCGTCCGGGCGCTCTCGGAGTGTAGCGATTGGCTGAGCTCGGGTCAAGCGACAAGAGGAAGAAAGCCAAGCATCCGCCTCTCTGTTGGGATGAACGGAGGTGGGATAGCGTCCCCTGGCGGCTAGGAGGCTCCCCAGCGACGTTGCTTCGAGCTTTTCTAATGAAGGAAAGTGAAAAGTTACGCGTTCATTGATCCATGTGAGGTTAATTAGGCATCTTCTGAGACCTAGGTCGGGTGGTACCGAAACAGAAAACCCAACCCTTGATCTCCAGAAACTCCTATTAGCAAAGGAAAATCTACTGCTTTCAAACCTCTTTCAGGCTGTGTGTCTTTGGGAACGTTATTAATTAGTCTGTCTGAGCCTCATCTCTTCTGCATAGTGTTAACACCACCCGTTTTCGCTGGGATGCTGTGAAGGTTAGACAATATCACGCATGCCAAGTACTGTGTGCCACGCACACCGCAATCCGGGAACTAGATGGTAGCTATGGCGAGTCTACAAAGAGCTGAAAGAGAGTGGAGCTTTTGTACAAGACCCTCTGATACAAGCATCCACTCTCCTCCAGGCCTCCACTCTCCCTGAACAGACATAAATGTATCCCATACAGAAAAAAGCCTCATTCCCAATGCCCAAACATGGTCCCGCCCTCCCGGCACTGAACTCAATCTGACAAGCCTCCCTATCATTAGTAACACATACTAAAAATCAACTTTCTGAGCCTGCACCTTTTCATGTTCTTTCAGCCACCATTCCTTAACAAGTTAGCTGTGAGTCGTGTTTCAAGGTCATGGGTGCTTTCGCAGGAAGCTGCCAGACTGCATTGTCAAGTTAGACATTCTTCCCATTTTATATCAAAGAACCCAAAGCTCGGCCTGAGAGTGGAGATGGGGAGAAAGAAGCTGCCAGAAATTAGCAACCGTACTTAGCAGAACTTGATTACTTGTACACTAAAAATGTAGAGAAGCAAGTTCAGAATTGTTTAGAAGACAGGCTGGTGTTTAGTCAGCCATTCTACACAAAGGCATTGGAAATACAAAATAGCCCTCAGGAGTTCTCTGGCTGAAGAAGAAACAGGTAGGCTCACAAGATGTTAGCGATCTAAGAGAGGACACCATCAGAAGAGTCGGTGGATGCTCCCTGGGAGGACAGATGCTCAAGCTGTCTGTATCTCAGCAATGACTAGACGCTCCCTCCAGCACAACTGGAGTGAGTGCATTAGTCCCAACTTATGATGAAATAACTTGGGAGATCAGGACCCTCAAGACCAAGCTTGACTACATACCAAGATTCTCTATTAATGGGGGGGGGCGCGGAAGGGGAGCTGGGCATCGTGGCACACGCCTTTAATTCTAGTACTCCAGAGGCAGAAGCAGGAAGATCTCTGTGAGTTTGAAGCCAGCCTGGTCTACTTAGTACTTCCAGATCCACCAGAACTTCACGCTGAGATCCTGTCTAAAAAATTAAAATTGGGGGGCTGGAGAGATGGCTCAGAGGTTAAGAGCATTGCCTGCTCTTCCAAAGGTCCTGAGTTTCAATTCCCAGCAACCACATGGTGGCTCACAACCATCTGTAATGAGGTCTGGTGCCCTCTTCTGGCCTGAAGGCATAAACACAGACAGAATATTGTGTACATAATAAATAAATATTTTTTAAAAATTAAAATAAAAAAACACACCAAACTTTGAGCTTAGTTGTGGATTCAGATCCCAACTCTGTGGCCTGCTAATCTGAACAAAGATATGTATAACCTTTACAAAAGGATTTTAATTAAGTATATGTGTACATGGGGGTGGGAAGAGTATGTGCACATGAACACGGGCGGCTGTGGAGGTCAGAAAAAGGTGTCAGATCCCCCTGGAGCTGAAGTTACCACAGGTGGTTAGCTGTCAGATAGAGGTACCAGGAATCAAACTTGGAACAACTGTAAGAGCAGTATGTACTCTAACCACTGAACCATCTCTACAGACCTATGTGTATTTTTAAAAAGATCATAAGGGGGGCTGGAGAGATGGCTCAGTGGTTAAGAGCATTGCCTGCTCTTCCAAAGGTCCTGAGTTCAATTCCCAGCAACCACATGGTGGCTCACAACCTTCCGTAATGGGGTCTGGTGCCCTCTTCTGGCCTGCAGGCATACACACAGACAGAACACTGTATACATAATAAATAAATAAAATATTTTAAAAAATAAAAAAATAAAAAGACCATAAGAACATACCCTTGGGCTGGCCAGATGGCTCAGCAGGTAGAGGTATCTGCCACCAAGCTGATGGCCTGAGCTAATCCTCAGGATCCACGTGGTATCCTCTGACCTCCCCCACGGGGGTTGTGGCGTGTGACCCCTCCACACACACAGACACATGTTAAAACATCCTCTAGGGTTGTTGTTTCAAACCATCTCCATGTGCAGAAAGTGCCATAGTTCTTGACGTCTCCTCGACAAGTGTTGGTAGCGCCTCTTGACATGTTAAGTATCCCCCCGATACACGCTTCTTTCTGCGATGTTCATTCCGAGCAATCCTCGTTCATTAACAGAAAATCCTGTGTAATATCTTCAGGTTTGCTCTTTTCATCACTCCGCGGATCCAGCCTGCAGCATTATGCTTCTTAACAAGCCCTCAGAATCAACACCATTATCTCTTACCTGGACCGTATTAGTGGCTCCTCACCCTCCCACTGGCCCTCCACTCTGTGTCTATTCCTTTGGCCAAAGGACCATTCAAAGACTTAAATCAATGGAATCTCTGGGTTAGCCCACGGATCTCTTTCGGCCAAGTCATCCAACCCTGTGCTGGTTTGTCATCTTTCTGTAGCTTGCTTTTCCAATCATTCCCAACACAGCTGTCCTTCTGAGCCTCTGCCCACACCGGTCCCTTGGAAGTGTCCTCCTGTTCCGTTTCTCCTATGCAAAATTCCAATGCATCCCGCGAGACAGTTCCCAAGGCTTTCCCAAACTCCCTGTGCTTCCAAAAGATATTTGTTCCTGCTGAAAAATCACATTGAAATCTAATTATCATTGTTTGTGCCTGCTGAAAAAAATACATTGAAATCTAATTACCATTGTAACCAGGCAAAGAGGCTGGAGCATCTTTAAAAACCAATTAGGCCACAAGGACTCCAAATCTATGGGGAGATTGCAAAAGGGTGTTTGTCTACCTCACCCCTCTTCTTCCCCTTGCTTTCCAGCATGGGGAGCGGTTCAGCAGGAAGACCTTCGCCACCATATGCAAGCGGGTTTGTTGTCTGCTCTGTGGTTAGGTGGGTCTCATACAATCCAGACTGGTCCTCGGCTCTCCAGCTGGGATGACAGGTGTGTGCTGGTATCTGTTTGTGTTTGCTGGGTCTTTTGAGGCAGTCAATTTATTTTGTTGTTCTTTTCAATTTAATTTTATTCAAAATTATGAATGTTTTGCCTATATGTGCCTCAGTGTGCCGCATGCATGCCTGGTGCTCAGGGAGGTCAGAAGAGGGTGTCAGGAAGCCCTGGACCTGGAGTTACAGTTATGAGCTGTCATGTGGGTGCTGGGAACCGAATCTGGCTCCTCTAGAAGAGCAGCCAGTGCTCTTAACAGCTGAACCATCTCTTCGGAGCTCTTTTGAGTCAGTCTTGCTATGTGGCCTAAACTGTCCTTGGACTCCCTGCAATCTTCTCCCCCCGCGCCTCCCCCCCCCCCGCCTGCAAAGTGCTGGAATCACAACTGTGCTGCGCCTCACCACATTCAGTTACCATCACCATCATCATCATCATCATCATCTTATTACCAGTATTATTGTATTTGTGCTGGTAATTTTTTTATATTATTTTATGTGTATGAGTCTTTTGCCTGAATGTGCACACGTGCATGCCTGGTGCCTAAGGAGGCCAGAAGAGGGAATCAGACCTTCTTGGAACAGGAGTTAAAGACAGCTGTGAGCTGCCATGTGGATGCTGGGAATCAAACCCCAGTTCTCTGCAAGAACAAGTGCCCTGAACCACTGAACCAACTCTCCAGCCCAACCAGATATTTATTGTTGAGTTAGGATGGTGGCTAGGCTGGCCATGAACAAGGCTCAAATGATCCACCTGTCCAGACTCTCAAGTAGGCAGAGTTACAGGTACACAGTATTGTGCCCTGCTTTAGGAATGTTTTATTTTATTTTATTTTTTATTTTGCTTTGTTTAAGACAGTCTCACTGGGCAAGGTGGCAGGCACACCTTTAATCCCACCACTTGGGGAGGCAGAGGCAGGTGGGACCACTGTGAGTTCATGGCCAGAATGTCTTTAAAAATGAGTTTCATCTATAGCTTCAAACTCACTGTGTGATCACAGATAACCTCAAGCTTCTGCTCCTCCTACCTCCACTTTCCAAGCGCTGGATTATAGGTATGCAATATCACACCTGGCTTTTTTTTCCATCCAGAAATAAGACCTCCCAGCCTCCAGTATCCAGAACCAGCCTTCTGTTGTACCTGTATGTGGTAGGTACTGAGTTTCTCTGAGAGCAGGACCCTCTTCAGACTACGGCTTGCAGCTCCTGTGCCTGGTTACAATCAGGCTGAGAGCCACTTGCTGCTGTAGAACATTAATAAAAGATGTGTTTATGCTGTGTAACACTTGTTCAACAATGCAAAGGTGTGGTCATTCTTTTCTGTTGCATTTGTTTAACCCTGTGAAGCTGTGTTCCTTGGCCTGTCTAAAACACCTGATAGGTCTAGCAAAGAAGTGAACAGCCAATAGCAAGGCAGGAGAAAGGCAGAGAGCATAAATAGGAGAAATCTGGGAAAGGGGGATCAAGGAACAAGAAAAGGAGAAGAGGAGGACTCTAGGGGTCAGCCACTCGGCTACACAGCAAGTCACAGAGTAAGAAATAAAGGTGTACAAAAATAGAGGATAAGAGCCCAGAGGCAAAAGGGAGACAGGCTACTTCACGTTAAGAAAAGCTGGCTAGAAATAAGTCAAACTAAGCGGGGCATTTACAAGATTTGTGATTTATTTGGGAACCGGGTGGTGGGCCCCAAAGAGGAAAAAAAACCCTACAACTTGTACACAAGGAACACCTCTTTTTTATACCTACGCCACTGGACCAACACCAAGCGACTACCCCACATTCTCAGCTCCGAATGATTGATTGATTGGTTTTGAGGCAAGGCCTTTCTATTTAGCTCTGTCTGACCTGGAGCTTGCTAAGTAGACCAGGATGGCCTCAAACTCATAGAGATCTGTCTGCCTCTGCCTCCCAAGTCTTGGGACTAAAGGAGTACCACCACATTTGGCTCCTAGCGAAATTTTAAGCAAGATGGCAGGACCTATTGGTATTGCCATGTTTCCTGCATCTACTCCCTTCTACTACGACTTCAAGAGACCTAGCCCGCTTCTAAGTGAAAGCAAAGACCCCCCCCCCAACACAGTGTAACCGAATCCCGTATAATGCGGCCTCTGCATCTTCCTGGCCTTGGGATTAGGGGAGAGGAGTTTAAGTGTGTCTCCTTATCTGAAAATCATAATACTTGCTACACCGGACTGTGCTGATCAGTCAAAATTCACTCACATCCCAGTTTAGGATAAAAAAAAAAAAACTCTCAAGAGAAGGAAGGTTAGCCCAGGCCCCGTCGGGATAGCCTAAAGAAAACAGACAACCTCCAGTCCCAGCGTCCCCACACCTGGCTGTGTCAGAATCACCTGCAGCACTTGGTGAAGCCCCATAGAGGGTGGTGGAGTGACCGTTCAGCAGTTCAGAGCACTGGCTGCTCTTCCAGAGGACCTGGGTTCAATTCCCAGCACCCACATGGCGGCTCACAACTGTCCAAACTGCACTTTCCAAGGGATCGGGACTATCTTCTGGACTCTGAGGCACACATATGACACACACACACATGCATACAGGCAAACACTCATACACATAAAAATTTAAAAAGACAGAAACTAAGGTTTGGGTAAAAAGTGGGTAAGGATAACAGATAAAGTGACTGACATGCAAGGATAGGGACCCATGTTTGGATCCCCAGAACTCACACATAAAAAGTCTAGTGTTGTAGTGGGTGCCTGTAATCTCAATACGGGGTGCGAGTGGGGTGGGGTGGGTAAAGATAGAAGGGGCCCTGGGGGCTGGTAGCCCGCCGTTAGAGCAGAATAAATAAACTCCAGGTTCAGTAAGCCTGGATCTCAAAAAAATAAGACAGAGAATGACTAGAGACACACATCTTCAACTGCTAGCTTACGTGCGAGCACACACACACACACATTTTAAAAAGACCTCAGGGCTACTCCATGGTGTCTGCCAATGGCAAACATTTGTTGAACAAACGAATAAGAATTGGCTGGTCCAGTGTGGCCCAAAGCAACAGCCCCAGGAGACTATAAAGAGGGAGGCCTTTTTGTGGGGGCTGCTGTCAAGTTCCTTCCGAGTTGGGAATACTGTAGATCTATAAGTCTCATGAATTGGCATTAGACCTGGCCGTGCCCACTACTTTGTGATTCCGGAGAGCCCAGCTTAGCCTCCCTGGGCGTCAGCCCCTCCCTGTGGAGCACGCATCCCTTGGCCGACCCTCCGGAGGCATTCAGTAGATCCTCTCCACGCCTCCTAACTCAACTTAGTTTCTCAGTGAAGTTTCGTCCTTATAACCCCCTCTGCAAAGAGTCCCATCTACAGGAGTCATCTGAGAAAATGGCAGCGTGAAAATGGTGTTTGTTGCAGCTGACTGGATGGGACTGGGGCAAGAAATAGTAAAAGCTTACGTCCATTCATTGATTTCTAACAATAATCCTCACTGCACATGTGCTGTGTGCCAAGTACTGAATCCGGCGCTTCCCTTTCTGGAGGGTCTAGGAGGCCCTGGATTGACAGAGGAGGGGCGAACGGGTTCCTTCCCTTCCCTTCACGCCCCAGCAGGATCCCTCCAGGAAGGCACAGGTCCATAGCCTGACTACCAGAATCCCTGTCTCCCAACTAATCCTTCCCAGAAAGGTCCCCCACAAAAAGAACACTCAAGTTCCTGGCTCCTTCTCTTCCTCTTCCCCAACCCCCCCACCTTACCCAAGCCCCCACAGAGGTGGTCTCTTCTGGAGAGAGTTGGCTCCGGTGCAGTTCTGCGGTTTTATTTTTCCTGGGATAGTCAAAGGGATGTGGGAACAGCCACAGGTGTGGTGAGGGAAAGCCCCTGTCTCCCCTCCCCAGATGAGGGAAAGAGGAGAGGCCCAGGCGCCCTGGTCCTGGGTTGGTCCAGCCACTGTGGTCCCTGGGCCCTGTGGGCGGAGGGCTAAGGATGGGAGCCCTGGGAAGGTGGGGCGGGCTCCTAGGCGGGGTTCGGGATTCTTCATAAAAAGCCACGAAGCTTGATCCCCACGAAGCCCAGCCCCGCGGGGTGTGGGAGAGACGCAGAGCCCAGATGGGGGACCCGGCCCGGCCTGGCCCATAGGGGTGTGGGGGGTGTAAAATAATGGCAGAGATGGTGCTCATGGAGGGGAAAAGGTGAGGACAAAGCGTCGGACCAGGAAGATGGGAGTTCCTAGTGAGGGGCGCTGGGCGGAGAGGCATGGCCCTCAGCCTAGCCCGGGCACCTTTGCGTGGGATCAGGAAGGTAAAAAACCCACGAAAGTGCGGCGGGCAGGAGCCGGGGCGTGCGGTGCCGGCAGGGCGGGCGCACGGAGCAGCCCGCGTTCACAGTGACCTCGACGCTGGGTGTACAGTACGGGTAGAAAACTGCGGGCCCGGGGCCGGGTTGGACGGCCCGGGCGGGTCACAGCCTGGTCTGGGCCTCGGGGATGTAGATCTCGATGCTGTCCGCGCTCTCGGTAGCCGAACTGTGGCGGAACGAGGCGGCGCGCTTGGCCGCCAGGAGCCGCTTGCGCGCTTCCTGCCGCTGCCGGTCCACGGAGTCCAGGGAGCGCTCCTTCACCGGCACGCCCCGCCCCCGCGAGGGCTTCTTTGGTATGGGCGGAGGGACCTTCTTCTCCTCCTGTCGGGAGAAGGCGCGTGGGGCTGAGCTGGGCGGCAGGGGACCACTGCAGCATCCTGATTCTCGCCCCACACGCCCATCCCCGCTCCCCGAGGGATAGCATTCGCGTGGATCGCTCCGGGAATTGGCCCCGGGACCCGACGCTGCAGGTGCACGTGTTTCAACAAGGTCAAAGCCGGTCAAAGCCCCTTTACAGGTCTCCGATGTGACGGAGCTGGGCGCCCCCTGGTGGAGCCGCTCTCAACAGCTAGCACCTACGTGCAGGCTGAGAAGTGAGAGGAGCGTTGCTAGGGCTCCAAGGGCCTCCCCAGTCTCACCCATCTCAGACATAAGTCTATCAATAAGAGGGCTGAAACTGCCTTAAAAATCTGCCTCCACTCTCCACACTGCCGCTGACCGGAGGTGGCGAAAGCAGCAGCGGTGTGAACATCTGGGCTAAGCACAGGGCAATGGCTGTTTTATCTAAAGCTGTTCTTGCTGCTGCCTGTCCCCCTGTGACTCCCAAATCCATACACCCACACACTCCTTTCTGAGAAGGGCATTCCGGAGTGTGACTTCTTGGCCCGAAAGGACCCACAAACACACCTTAGGCTCCAGGAGTTTCCAGCTGTTGGCCTTGAGTTGTTGTAGCTCCAGGAACTTGAGGGTCACATCTTCAATGGAGAGCTGCAGGAGGTCCCAGAAACCCGCCAGATCCTGGAAGGTGGGCACAGGGAACGCAGTGGGGTCCTGCCGTGGTGAGACACACAGGGGAGGAAGCCCGTCAGGGAGGTCTGACCCTCAGGCAGGCTCAGAGAAAGCCATGCTCAGCCTCACTGTTAGGAAGCTCAACCTAGGGGAATGGGCTGAGGGATGGGCGACAGGAACAAGAAAAAGTCCAGGTGTCTCCTACCTGGGTGGAAAACACTGGGCTTGACCTCAAGAAACAATACTCCAAACAAGACATGTCTGACCTTTTGGTTTCTCTGGGCCCCACGGGATTAACTGTCTTGAGCCACACACAATCCACCCCTCCAAATACACAGACCTGGTCCCACTTCTCAGTCACTCTGGGTCACCTGCAGATCCGGTACAGACACCTACCAAGCTTTGCTGACACAGCCTGAAGAACTGCTGGACCTTCTGAGACAGGAGAAGCTGTGTACTGCCCACAGCACTGCGAATCTTCTCCAGGACTACAGAACAGAAGGAGGCTTGAGGCGGGGGAGGGAAACCCCTCTTCCCCCAGGGACCCAAAGTTTACCTTTTGGGATGCTCGCCTCTTGCTTACTGTACTATCTATCTATCCATCTTTCTCTTCCAGCCCCTTCCTCAGCCAACCACACGAAGACGTCATCCTCCTCAACGGAGTTCCTTCCTTCACAAGCCGTAATTTACCAAGTGCTGGTCCTTCCCCACCAGTGCCTCCCCCTCCAATCTAGCTTTCCAGCCTTGGCCAGAGCAATAGCGTGACGACCATTCACTGACCAGATTCTGTTACTTATCAGTAACATCCTTGGTTTGTTAAGAATTGTTAATTCATCTCTGGAACCTGACACTGGCTCCCCTCAGATTGGATTCGTGGGGACGGGGCATTCCCTCTGTCTCACGGCTGGCTGCCATGCTGACCTTCCCTCTCTTCCTCAAACTTGTTCTCACTTGAGCTGCCTCCTCCAATGATGTTAAAAGCCTCCATCTTTCATTGAGGAATCCCAGCATCCTCTGGGAAAGCTATTCTCAAATCAGAATGGTAATGTAGTCCCCCGGTCTTACCACCAACCTCATACTGGAATGGTATACTTGTGCAGATCTGAACAGATTGTACCTCATGGAGTTAGTGACTTAGACTGGTAGCTACCTCCTTTTGCCTGGTCATGATCCACCCCCCTCCCGCCTCCAGTCCTAGCCCTGGCCTCTAAAACTGTCCCTTTCTAGGCACCCCTAGTATGCCCTATTGCCAGTGGGAACCTCACATTCCAGTATGGAGGACCAAAGAGGAGGCAAGCCTGAGGGGAGGGGCCATCGCCCTTCTCCCCTTCGTGGGTGGCAGGGGACTCACTCTCCTCCGGAAGCTCATAGTCCTCCGCCTCACGCTCCATCTGCTGGCACCAATGTTCCAGTTTCTCCACCTCTGCCCGCAGCATCTTGATGAACCACTCGCCGTCCCGTGGGCAGGGGGACGTGCGGCCTGAGTCGGGGAGGCTACGTGAACCGCGCTCCATCCAAGAATCTCGGCGGCCGGACCCGGGACCAGAGGCGGGGATAGGGGTAGGGCCAGGCGACCCATCAGTGGCTGGCGGCTCGTACGGCAGTGGGTAGCCCTCGCGGTAGGCCCACTGGCCCTGCGTGTGGACCGTGCGGAAGACTGAGTAGGTGGGGGCCCGGGGTCCGGGCTGGGGCTCAGAGGCGTGCCTCTGGAAGGAACGTCCGAACTGCAGGGCCTTGTCTTCTGTGGCCACAGTGGCCAGGCCAGCCAAGCCCTCCAGCTCCAGGTCTGCCTGCACACCGGCGGTCACGCTGTTGGAGCGCTTGAACCTTGCCCGCCTGTGGAGGAAGATGCCTGTGCTCTCTGCTCCTGCTTAGGTCACCCCAGGTCCTCCCTCATCCCAACTCCAAGCAAAAGCCTACAAAACAATGACCACTACACACTTAAAATCAATTGGCCCTTGCAGCGAACATACCGACCTATTGTACTTCCACGAAACAGCAATGACAAAGTATTTATTTAACAACCTGTACCTACAACCAGTAAGAGATGCTTGGACACACCAAGCAAAGTAGAGCAAGCTGTGGGGCTCCTGGCTCCAGTAGCTCTTGAGCAAGGAATGCAGAAGCATTTCGTTATTTTTCCTTTGCGGTTTGTTGTTTTGAGACAAGGTCTCACTCTGTACCCAGGTTGACCTGGAACTCACAATGAATCCCCAGGCTGCACTCACAAGGTGAGCGAGCGAGCCTCCTGCCTCAGCTTCCGGAGTATTAGTATTATAGGTGCTGAGTCACCATACCCAGCTTGCAATTCAGTATTCTAGAAAAGATATGCCTCTGCTGGTGTACAGTGGCCATACAGTGTGTCCTAGGTCCACAGAGACACTGACAAATGGGACCCAAAGAGGTCCTAGGTCATCCAGCTTCGGAGTGGCAGAGTCAAGCTATAAACCCAGGGCTGCAATCTGGGAGGCACCAGCTAAAGGAAGAACTGCCTGGGAGCAGCTTGGGATGGAGTGGGCATACAGCGGAGGACTTCACCCCTGGGGACCCTGATGGCTCAGCCCAGAGCCTGGCCAGACAGTCTGCCAGAACCAGTGGAGCTGAATTAAGTTGTTGGCAGGAATGACATAGGGCCTGGAAATTTCTTGTCTGTGAGTTAATTATATGCAAATCCTATGCAAAACAGAAAGTCAATTGGCCTTGTTCATTTTTCCCACTCTGAGTTCAGAGTAGGGGCTCTCTTCTGTGAGAAGTCAGTGAGCACTGTGACGCATGAGGTTGGGGCCAGACAAGACTTTCGGAAGTAGGAGTCGGGCTGGGGGTGTGTGTCAAAGATGAACAGAAGTTGAAGTAGTCTGGGAATTCAAGAACCTCAAAGGAGAGGGCCGTGGGTCCTCATCTACCTCCACAGTCACACGTTTAAAAGGGAAGAGGGTTTCATGAGACATCTCCACGGGCCCATCCAGCCCTTTCCGGTCTTCCCAGGAGACTCTCCTAACTGCACCCTCCCTCCACAATCCCCGAAATTCCAACCTTCCTCCTGTGGCCCAGGCCTTCTCTCCAAGCCTGCCTGCCTGCTTCCTTCCAGCTGGCAGGCTGCCTGCTGGGAGCCTGTTGCCATAGAAACCAGGCCCAGAAGGATGCTGCAGGACTCAGGAAAGAGAGATCCACTCATGTGCAGTCTCCAACGAACCCCATGTCCCTGCCCCCACCCAGAGAACGGAGAAAGAACATACTACTTTCCCTGCCTCCCACACGGCTTTCACCTTGGCGTCTGCCCTGGGCGCCATCCACCCTGACTACAGGCCACCTCGGTGTCCGCCCTGGGCGCCATCCACCCTGACTACTGGCCACCTCGGTGTCCGCCCTGGGCGCCATCCACCCTGACTACTGGCCACCTCGGTGTCCGTCCTGGGTGCCATTTACCCTGACTACTGGCCACCTTGGCGTCCGCCCTGGGCGCCATCCACCCTGACTACTGGCCACCTTGGCGTCCGCCCTGGGCGCCATCCACCCTGACTACTGGCTACCTTGGCATCTGCCCTGGGCGCCATCCACCCTATTGGCCTGGCCTCCTTTTCAGATACCTCTGCATTCACTCAGTACAGCGAAGAGGAAGGAAAGCCCTGGACCAGGAAGCACCCCTGAGTCCTAATGTTACACATGTCACTGTGTGCTTTAGAGAAGTTCTCCATCCAGGCCATCTAAGATGTATGCGGATGCATGTAAAATACAGTCGAAAGTCCCCGTGTGGTCGTGCACACCTTTAATCCGAGCACTCAGGAAGCAGAAGCAGGAAGATCTCTGTGAGTTCCAGGCCAGTCAGGGCTACAGAGAGAGACCCTATCTAAAATAACAACCGTCTAATTAAATATGTATTATATAAAAATATACACATGTAATAAATATACATATGCACACATATAAAACCATCAGAATGGGACAATAATTTCCAAGGTATTTATTTCCTTTGCCAAAAATCATATCTCATATATGTTAAGGTCTGGAACCCAGCAATTTCTGCCCAGTCTATCCCAAGACTGGAGTAGTCTTCCAAAGACAAGCTCTTCTAAGTCATCCCCCTGCTCAAATTCCCATGACTCCCCAGGGCCAGCAAGAGAAAGCTCAAACTTCTGTGCCAGCCCTGACCTGAAGCGCCTATTGTCTGGATGCACCCACATCCTCAGCCTCCTCCTCTCCACATCCTCCTTGATCCCTAAGTAGATGACATTCTGACTCCAGACCTCTGAGCATGCTGTTCCCCTGCCTGAGATGGCCGTTTTCACTCTCGCTCCCTGGCTATTCTCTTTGTCTGTGAGTCCCCTGGCTGCTCCCAAGATCACGCCTCAGCTCTGTGCCCCCCAACAGTCTTCCTGCATTGAAAGCAACTCCACTGATTTGATTAATTAGTCTCTCTGGTGACTAACTAGAGTGACTAACTAGACTCTAACTAACTAGAGTGACTAACTATACTCTCAGGATACTCCTTGGTCCCCTATGAATATTTGTGCCTTCCAGCTACACTTGGCCAGTGGCTCCTTCCAAGCTCCAGAAACTGCAAACACCAGAGGTCACGGTCCCCAGCGACTACATTTCTGAAGAGGTACCATCCCAACCCGTTTCCCTGTTGTAAGAGTTTGGAGTCTTAAATGACCCCCACAAGCTTATGTTTGAACAACTGGTCCCCAACTGTTGACAAGGTTTGGGAGGTTGTGGAACCTCTGAAACCTGTGAGCTAACTAGCCACACTGGGTCACTGCAGGGTGGGCCTTGAGGACTGTTCTATTTCTGATACAGGCCTGGGCTCTCTGCTTCCCTGTCTGCCAACAAGGGAACAGGCCACAAGCTCACACCAACATGAACAGCCTGCCCCCCAATGACAGCCTGCACTCTTTGAAACTGTGACCCAAAGTAAAGGTTTCCTCCTAGAGCTGCCTCTCTAAGGTCGCTCCCCACTAAACACACTCTGCTCCACTGGCCTGCTGCCTTCATCTGACCTCAGGGGAAGTCCTGAGGAGGATTCCACACTATCTCGGGCAGAAGCAGGAAAGTGCCCCAGGCTTCGTGGTTCTAAGTCCCTTCCGCAGTGAACTCTCTCAATGCATATACTCCAAGGAAAGCTGAGGGAGCTGTGGAGCAGCTGGGCTCAGTGAAGCGTGGACCTCACTACCGCTCCCAGCCAACAGTCATGTTTGCACAGGACGGGCAGCAGTCAGCCATCCTTGTGAGCTAGCCATTAGTGCGGGACAAGATCACAGTAAGAAAGAGCACTGGATTAAAGATCTAAAACCCTGGGGCAAGCTGGACATTCCACACGGAGGTCGAGACAGCACAACACTCAGAGAGGATGAAACCAGAGGGGACAGAGGGAGGAGGGGGACATGCCAGGAGGAAGAGAAACTGAGATGCTCAGTAGGTAAAAGCCCTTGTTGCCAAGCATTGTAGCCTGAGTTCAAGCCCTAGGACCCACACAGTGCCAGGAAAGAACCAACTCCTTCGACTGTCCTGACAGTCACCCATATGCCTTGGTGCACACAGGTACACACGCATGTGCATATGTACACACACACACAGACACAAATACACACAGATAAATGTAACTCTTTGTTTGTTTGGGTTTCTTCAAAACAGGGTTTCTCTGTGTAGCTCTAGGTGTCCTGGAACTGGCTCTATAGACCAGGCTGGCCTCAAACTCATAAAGATCCATCTGCCTCTGCCGCCTGAGTGCTGGGATTAAAGCTGTGCGTCACCACCGCTTAGCAGACATGAATGTAGTTTAAAGATAGATAGACAGACAGATAGATAGATAGATAGATAGATAGATAGATAGATAGATAGACCGACCATCAAGCCAGGAGAAATATGTAAAGGCAGACAGAGGAGAGGATGGCCTCCAGGAGGCCCAAACAGCCAACAGAAGTAGGCAGCTTGGTTAAGAATGAAAAGCTGGCCAAGCAAGAGTAGGTGTAGACAGCATGGGCTTTCAGGAAGTGGGGGAAACCAGTTATAACAACCTCATCAAAGATGGCGTCTGAAGCCAGGCAGTGGTGGTGCACACCTTTAATGCCTGCACTCGGAGGCAAAGGCAGGTGGAACTCTGTGAGTTCGAGGTCAGCCTGGTCTACAGAGAAAGTTCCAGGACATCCAGGGCTACATGGAGAAACCCTGTCTCAAAAAAACAAAACAAAAGATGGTGTCTGAGAAGCAAGTAGGAGTAAGGGGAATGCCCACTGGAGGAAGAGCATTTTGGGGTAGCTCTCGGTAGTCATATCCTGGGGGAAGGGGGGAACCTGAGTGGGATGTGTGAGATAATCGTGCCCAAAGAGGTTCCTTTCTTGATCCCTGGAACCTGGAGGTATGCCTCCTCCCATGGCAAAGGGGACTTTGTGGACTTGGCCAAGTTCAGGATCCCAAGATGAGATGAATAGCGTGGGTTATTCAGATTTGAAGGTTCATCTTACTAGTCAAGCTGGCTGGGGTTCAGAACTGCTCGGGGAGCACACCTCTGGGTCTGTCGGGGAGGCCATTCCTGGAGATGCTTCACTGAGGGGGAACAGACCCGCCCTAAGCAGTCCAGGCAGGAGCAGAAAGCCTGCTGAGTATCTTCTCATGCTGGACACTCAGCTCTCAGTTTCCTGACCTGGGATGCAATACCTCATGCTCAGCCTGCCATAAAGGACCCCGCCCCGCCCCCCCTTCAGGTTTTTCGAGACAGGGTTTCTCTGTGTAGCCTTGGCTGTCCTGGAACTCATTCTGTAGACCAGGCTGGCCTTGAACTTAGAGATCTGACTATCTCTGCCTCCTGAGTGCTGGGATTATTAAAGGTGTGTGCCACC